AAAAAAAAAAATACCTTCCAGGTACAGACATACTATTTATGGTACAATATGTACAAATATAGCAGAATAATTCAATTTATTGCTAGAACTTTATTTGGTTGTTACAAAATCTGTAAGGGTATATATATTAAAAAAGGGGGGAGTCCGGAAGGAGCCAGAAGAACAAGAGTTGCCTTCAAGTTACCTAAAGTGCCAGGGTAATGCTGAACTGTATTTTTAACCTTTCCAAGAAGGTGACAGCATAGATGAGCAAGGCAAACGTTAAGGCAAAAAATTTAAAGTGGGAGAAACATGAGTTAAGAAGACATGTGCACAGGAAAACTTTACTTGCCTTCACTGAGTTTTAGTATGTCCAGAAAAAAATAAAGCCAACACTAAGCTGACTGCCATATAAAGGAAACAAAACACAAAACCAAAACAAACCAAAAAACCCAACCGTCTTTAAAGGTTTAAGGATCCTAGACTGCATCTATAGCTTGGATAGAATTAAGCAGAAAGCTCTGTACTAAGAAGCCGCCAGCATAACAGCTTCCCCAGGTTTCCCTGACTGGCCACAGCAGAAGGTTCTGTAAGGTCTGCTGCTTGTGCTGCCCAGAGACTCCTAAGAACAGCACGGAAAGCGTTCTCAGCATGTTGGTGATGTGCTGATTCCCTTCTAGGCCGAACCTTTCATGACTTGCTCACAAGGTCTGTAGAGGGGGAAGCACTGCACTTGCCGTTTAGATCTGGGAAAACTGCCACCATCATCAGAAGGCTCCTGCTCCAAGCCTGCCTGCTCACTGTGGCATCCTCTGGACAGAAAACCTACAGCTACATCTCTGAGTGGACAACTGTGAGAAAAGAATATGATTTCATGTTTCATTCGAACATATTTTGGTTTTAGGCGTCTGCCAAGAAACAGACCAAGTTCTTAGATATCCCAGCAGTAAAATCTCAAGGTGTTTTCTGAGTCAAAACTCAAGAGTTTTCTCTAATGCTCTGAGCAGCTAGTTTGACATAATGACGAAGGCCATGAGCCTTCCCATTCCAGACTAGAGTTGGTGCTGAAGGCAAGCAGTCACAACATTAAGGGAGTCTGAAGTGGATGGGGTAGAGAAAACAATCTAATTTTCTTGAGAGGAAAACATAAGTCCCCACTGAATAACTTTTATACTCACAAACCTTGAAAGATAATTAAAAATAAGGACTTCTCTGGTTCTTAGGTTAGGAATAGGAGCAATGACCCAGAATATGACTTTCCTGAGCTTGGAACCGGTACCCTCTGTACAGCATTCATACCTGAACTGATGCCCCAGCTTCCAGGCCAAACAAACCCTATGGTTGCACAAAGTCTTTGAGGGTTGCCTTAAGGAGATGTGAAGAGTTTCAGCCACCAGCCAGAACGAACTGTCAGTCACTCTTAACAAGTCATTTGTTCATCCTATTCAAAGCCATTCATCTGTCTTTCTACACAATATACACAATCTTTCATTTTATATATTTACAAACAGAAAAGACTCATCTTTCAAAGAAAAGACATTCTGAAGCTCTATAAAGTGCAGCTAATTTAAGGCAAATTCATATGAAATATAAACAGTGACTTCTTATCTCTATATACACACTTTCTAGCTTTAAAAGGTAAATTCTCCCCCCTTTAAAAACAGGAAAGAGAAAAGAGGGCTTTATTATTTTTCTCCTGGCAACTTTAAGTTACAAGATCTCACTGGCTTCAGGAAATCATAAATTTCCAAACATCATATAAGTCATTTTTTAAAAAAATAATTTTTTTACATAGCATTTTCAAACCAGTTAAAAGGTGGCAATGTGTTTGCTACAGTATTATGAAGGGCTGAAGGGCTGATGGGTTAGTCAAGAGGTTTGTTTTGTTTTGTTTTTTAAGGTAAATATTAGTTCAGGGTACACATCCACTTCAAAGTATGCCTGATGAGACTAGATACCTAAAGCTACTTTTAGCTCCAGGAAGGAGTATCTTCCATCTCCATTGGAATCAAATGCTCTCAAGCTCTCTGGTCTTGGCATGGCAGAACCTAGGGAATTCCAGACCTCCTGGTAGGTCAGTGTTCCATCCACATCTTGACCAGTCTTGCGGAATAAATCCTGAAGATCTGTTAAACATGAATTACAAAACAGTCATGTAAGTATGTTTATGCATAATGTTAAAGTAGCTTCAACTGACTTCAAAGCATTAAAAAAAAAAAGGCTACATTGCCAAGTGTGGTGTTGAAGGCCTTTAATCTCAGCATTTGGGAGTGGGTGGGTAGAGGCAGGCAGATCTCTGTAGATTTGAGAGTAGCCTCATCTACACAGTTAAGTTTCAGACTAGCCAGGCTACCTGGTGAGGTTTTACCTCAAACCGTTCCCTTGCAAAACAAAACAACTCTCCCAACTTTGCTTCTTGGGGGCTAAAGAGACAGCTTGGTGGTTAGAGTACCTGCTGTTCTTCCAGAGAATGTGGGTTTGGTTTTCAGCCACGTGTACTTCAGGTCCAGGGGATCAGATGTCCTCTTTCAGCCTCTAAGAGCATCCCTCCCACAACACACACCGCATAGTCAGTCTCCTTTCTTTTCAGATGGCTCAGTGGTTAAAGTGCTTGCCATCATGCAAGAGCGAGGACCAGACTTCAGATCCCCAGAATACATGCAAATGCCAGGTTGTAATTCCAGCCTCAGACAGCGGTGACAGGATCCCCACAGCAAGCCGGCTGTTGAGACTAACACTAGCAGTGAGCTCTGGGTTTGATCAAAAGACTGCCTCAATGAGGTAGGACTAGCAATAGGCATGATTCTTAACATCAATGTGGGACCTCCAAAAAAATCCACACATATACATGTGTACAAGTCCACACATGTAAACATGCATATGCACAATACCCACACCCACACATGCAAAATATACATAGACACATATACCACACCCACACGAACATGAAAAAAAGGAAAAAAAAATCAGAAAAACGAATTTTGATCCTTTAAGAAGGAGAGGAATACTATACTGCATAGCTTCTTAAACTGTGAGATGCAAATCCCTATGGGAGTTGTGTACCTGAATATGGGGGTCATGAAAAGTTTGGCAATAGTAAAATATTTCTTAACATTTAGTGACCAAAAGTTAGATAGGAATAATATGCTTAACAAGTCTGAGGTGCTTCTGGGAGTTTTAGCCTGTGTTGTAGCTTAGAACTGTCTGATACACAAATGTGCATATGCCCTCATGCCACATGCTACTAAATTTTGCTGCCTGAAGCACTTTGCTTTGGATTCAAGACTACTGTATGCTGTGAAGTGCAGTGTTTTTTATTTTTATTGTATATACCAAGTTTTCTCTTCTTACAGAAACATAATGGTTTGTAGAAAACAAAGATGTTTAATATTGTCATTGTTCTTTAGCATATATCAAATCAGTGCATCTTTTGATTGTACTGTGTTAGAATGTTTGATTTTTAAAATTGCTATTTGAGTTGCTGACTTTAGTTTCCAATTTCTAAAATGGTCCTAAAGATACTTTTGTTATTTTGTACTGCTTATTTATGTGAGGTGTCATTCTTGATCCTGACAGTTATAAAATACAATGATCAACCAACTTTGAAAACCACTGAAGTGAATCAAATATGGTTGGCTACAAATTTTTATAGTACCTAGTATGGTGCTCTTTCTACTATGTAACATTGTCTTTCTAGATCTAGATAGAAATTAAGTAGCTCAAGAATCAGGGACTTGGGAGGGAGAAAATCACAGAAGGAGGGAGGAGGGTAAAATAAGTAAGGATGTTTGAAAAAGCCATAGGAATCATATTATTGACTATTTATCTAAAAAAAACCCTACCTATAATATACATAAGTTTATGTGTAATTATACATCTATAGTTTAAATGAAATTTCCTCAACTGGCCTGACAATGCTACCTCCGAGAGCCAAAGATCACTCAAGAAAAAAAAAACCTCAACATAAGAAGACCTCTTTTTGTTGTTGGTTAGGTTTGTTCAAGAGACTCCCCAAAACATATAGGCTATTGTCGTTGTCACTGGTTGCCCCAGAGGTGGAAGTTAAGTCCCTACTGCTGAAGACACCGTGCACTTCAGACACTGAAGCCAGAGGCCCCTGAGTTGGAACAGACCGGAAAGCCTCTGCCCTAAGGACTAACTCCCAAAGGAGGAAAGCAAGCAAGAGTGCTATCCAGATATGGTGCCTATGAAACACAATTCTGACCAGCATGGCATGACACCCTAAGGGTGCAGTAGTGGCATGCCTACATTGGCAGGATCCACCAGCTCTCTCATTGGACTTAAGACCTGCTAAAGTTAAGGGGGAAACTGTGTCGAGTACTGGAAACTTAGCCAACTCACCCAGGCCTAGTGAAGTCATGGATCTTGGAGGAGAGCCTACAATCAGTATCAATGTTAGTGACATTCTCAATATTTGTCCTTATATGCACAGAAAAGTGCAACAGAAAACCGCAACAAATCAAAATGCAGAGATGTGGGGCCCAGTCCCAATGGGTACATTTACAAAACAACTCCTACACCTAAGGCACAGGGAACATTGCAGAAGACAGAGTGGAAGGATTGTAAGAGCCAGATGATCAGGGAGTTTGTCCTGAGATTTTGTCTCTTACGAATGTCAGAAATACACCCATAAAGTCTCATCAACACGACTGCTTAAATATCAATAGAACAAGGACAAGAGCAACAGACATGCCAAAGTGGACGGGGTAAACCCCATGAGGCTTTAAACACACACACACACACACACACACACACACACACACACACACACAAAACTATAAGCAACTAAGAGAGGCTGAAAGTAGAAATTGTTTCTCCAGGACAGAGCACACCAATTGGTTACCAAATGGTCAGCCCTGAAAACATACATATGTGTGACATTATACAGGTGAAATTGTTGATATAAAAATTAATGAAAAAAGAATCCATGGAGTTGAAAGAGAGAAAGGAGACGTATATGGGAGGGTTTGGAGGGAAGAAAGGGTGAATGTAGTTAGAGTATAATCTCAAAAATAAAAGAAGTAAAAGCGAGAGTCAAGACTACAGAGTACTTTATGGTCACTAGGATGCCCACCACCAGGAAGCACTGGTGAAGACGTGGGGGAAAATGGATTGAATCCTCACATGGGGTAATGAGAATGCAAACGGGTACACACATGCTGAACAATGGTTTGCTATTTCAGGAATTGTATGATCTAGCAATTTTATTCCTAGGCACTGAGTCAAGAGAAAAACACATTTCTATAAAAAAAATCTATGCACTCACGTTCACAGCAGCATTATTAATTGCACAAAAGTGGAAACAACCCAAATAAGCATCAACTGATGGATCGATGAACCAAATGTGAATATACCATAGAAAGGTATTGCTTCATGCCACAATATGAAAAAAGCACTGATAAAAGAAGCATTTACAAAGCCATAGACTGCATGATTCCATTTAGAAAATGAAACATCCTAGATACATAGGCTCATAGAGACAGTGGTTGTCAGGAATCAGAATGAAGGGTAACTGGAGAGCTAAATTTCTCCCCTATTTATTTACTGTATGCATGTGTGGGTGTGTACGTGGGTACACAGCAAGGTGCATGTGGCGATCACAGGGCAACTTGTGGGAGTGGGCTTTCTTCTTCTAGCACGTGGGTCCTACTCAGGATGTCAGGCTTGATTGCAAGCACTTGAGGCGTTTGGCCAGCCTCAGGAGGAACTGTTTCACCATTCTGGGTGATGAAAATGCTATGGAATTAGGCAGTGGTGATGGTTGCGTAGCCTTGAGAATATACTAAGTAAGGCCCACACAATTATACAGTTTAAAAGAGTGACATGAAATGAATTATATCTCAATTAAAAAGAACCCTCAAAAAATTACTGTCTCTATGTATTTATTTTTTGATTTTTAATACTATCAGTTAATCTGCATTAAAAGAATAGCTAAGATACTATTTCAGCCAATGGGATTAGAAAGTTTCCAACAAAAGCCTTTAACATTTAAAAATTATTTGAGCCAGGGGTGGTGGTGTATGCCTGGAATCCAGAGTTTAAGACCAGCCTGAGGTATACAGAGTATTGAGGTCAAACTAGCTAAATGAGGTTGTCTCAAACCAACCAACCAACCAACCACCAAAAAACCTTTAAACAAACAGAAACCAACCAACAAACCAAAAATCCAAAAGGGATTTTAAAGAGATGACCCAGCAGTCAGGGGTCTGTGCTACCCTCCCAGAGGGCAGAATTTAGTTGCCAGCGTCTTTGTCAGGTGGCTCACAAATGAGCAGCCCCAGCTCCAGGAGAGCCAATGCCTCCTTTTAGAGTACACATACAATTAAGTAAATAATGAAAAAAATTAGAAGAAATAAAAAACAAAAAGGACTTGACTGACTTCTTATGTTCACTGAAAAGATTTATAATAAGAAAGTAGCTAGGCTATGCTTCTTCAAACGCCTTCCTGATTATTTTTCATCATTTATTCAAGGTCATGCTTTGACGCCACAGGCCTCTTGTCATTTGGCACTTGGGAAGAATGGATGTGCTGAAGGGAGGGAAAACAGTTTCTGTGTAAGATCCACTCCATTGAGGAATTCTTGTAAACTTCTGATAGGCCCTCCTCACTCCTGAGCCGGGCCTGGCAGTGTAGCTGGTGAGCCAGAAAAGCAGATGGGTTACTTACTCCCAACACCAAATGGCTGGATGGAAAGTCTTTTTAGTAGAGAGCAAATACAATGACTTTCCCTTCTTTCCAGAAAACAAAAGAAAACCAGCACAGGCATCGGGAAAAGTAGTGGTATTTAAGCATTCGTTGCAGCAAGAATAAGAAATTCACTCATTCAGTTACACATTCATGTCTACCAGGCTCTGTACTGCAGGTTAGGGAGTGAACAGGACAGACTTTACTCACAGAAGATAAACTATGCTTCTTCAACAGAGTAGCAGATATTAAACAGGAGCAAAAAGAAACAACAACAGAAAACCAACCAACCAAAACAAAAAAACATGTCATGATATACAGGAAGCACCTATTCTGACATCTGAACCAAAGTGAAGAACCAGTGGATGATATGTGGTCAGAACTGGGTGACTTTCCAGATTGCAACAGAAATACCAGCACCTCAGTATCACACTAAACAGTAGAAGACGTTACTGGGAACAAGGCAAACATTCTATGACATACAGCCTTTCTGTCAATATTCTGCTCATTGTCAGGATCCCAGAGGGCCCCGAATACAGTCAACTCTGATTTATTTTGCTAATCTAATGGAATTGTGTTTGCTTTTTCTGTGCTCTGCATTAGATAACATATCCTGGTGGAAAGAAAGGAACTTTTTTTTTTTTTTTGAGACATGATCTCACTATATATAGAACAGGCTGTCCTCAATTTCTTCATTTATTTTTATGTCTCAGCTGGGATTAGCACATGCCTCTGTGTCTGGCTGAGACTGTATCTTATCGTGTATTCCATTCTTTGACATGAATGACTGAAGACCCTATGTGACACTGACAGACAGTATGGAAGCTTTGGAGTCAGTCTCAGCTTGAATTCTGTCTCAACCACTTATCTGCTGTTCAGACTTAGGTAGCTTTCCGTAGCTACAACAGTGTTAGTTATAAAGTGTGTGTGTGTGTGTGTGTGTGTGTGTTCCTGTGTGTTTACAGGTACAACCTCAGCTGTTACTCCTCAGGTATTTGTCCACCTTTTAAAATTGATTATTATGTGTGTGTATGTGTGGGTGTGGGTCACATGTCACATGTGAAGGTCCGAGGACAACCTCACAGAGACAGCACTTTCATCGTTATGTTGGCTCTGGAGACTGGACTTGGGTCATCAGGCTGTAAGTGCCACTATGTACTGCGCCCTCTCTCTGGCTCCTAGTCATCTTTTTGTTTTTGAGAAAGTGTTTCTCACTAGCTCAGAACTCAAGTGGGTTAGTTAGGCTGGCTGGACACTGAACCCACCTGTCCCCATATTCCCAGTGTTGGAATTAAAAGAGTGTGTACCACCACACCTGGCTTTCTTTTTCTTTCTTTCTTTTTTTTTAAACATGGGCTCTGGGGACTGAACTCAAGTCCTTTCCACCTGAGCCATCTCTCCAGTTTATTAGATATACTTTTATTTTTACATCAACACTGAACATTTCCACCATTAACATTACCTTTGATGCTAGAAATCCCCGGTAGGGAGACGGGTTTTAGTTGAGTCTTAATTTGGTCGCCAAGAAGCTGTGAAGATTTTGGCAATGCTGACAGATCTGATGTGAAGTTCTGTACTTGCTCTGTAGCAAACACATATATCTTTATTACAATCAACTTTAACACCAAATTAACTTACAATTGAAGGTCACCTTTTAGGACCATAGCATATATATTTAAGAGAAGCAGCTGAGAGCTAAAGTAACACAGTAACTATAAAGTTAAAGGTACGGACTGTGCCATGTTTGTGGACAAGTGAGGAGGAATCAGTATTACACTAAGGTCTGAAACAGAACCTCAGCACAGGTTGAGTAGCTCTGGTCTGAAAATCTGCAATGACCCCAAATCAAAAGCTTTGTATATGGACAGTATACATGTGAAACACTAATGGATTTTTGTATTTAGACTCGAATACCAACTCAAAGATATCCTGCAAATATTTTTAGATGCTAAGACTTGAGTTGTATAAGTCTTTGACTTCTTGGCAAATAGGCTATTAAGTGTGGTCTGGGGGCACGAGCCATCAGCCACGCTACCATAATAATGCTTTATCTTAAGAGCATGTAGCCAGTACGAGAAGACTTCAACATAGTTCTGGTTCTCCCAGGAGAGAATCTGAGGGAAGCGATTCCACATCTCCAAAGCTGAAGAATGCTTGAACCAGGGAGGTCAAAGCCAATACTGGCTAGTATCTTGTTAAATCCTCAGGTCCTAAATCAGTAGATGTTAATTAATGCATCTGATAATTCTGATTAAGTATGTCCTTACCTACAGCCAAGTGGCCTGCAAATTGAATAATTCTATCATTTGCATGTTAATGACGTTCAGGAGAACTAATATTTATTTTTAAGTAAATTTTATGCACTCACAATAAAGGAAGCATAACATTTAGGACTGGTTTAATATAAGCTGTGACAGGAACATTTTTGCCTATAATTGGATGCAGGCAGCATGGAGAAGTCTATTTCCAGCTAAACATTACCCGTTCTCCCCTTAATAGACTAGAGTACAAATCAAGTACAAAATGGGCTTTTGCTAAATGAAAGCGCCGTGCGCCAGCCTCATCTCGGTGCGCTCAGGCATCACTCGGTTCCATCAGTGCTAGCGGACACCATCCCTGTTCCCTGTGTGGGCGGCAGCCTGCCCAAGCCTGCGTGAAAATATTCAGAAGCCAGCTAGCCTCTTACCTTCCTCTGCGGGCTCCGGAGGCCTGTTGCGTTCAGGTTTGTTTGTGAGAGCACTGATCAGCTGCAGTTTCTCTCGCAACTTAGATACCTGAGAATTTGAATTATCTTCTTTCTACCCAAAAAACAAAGATCAGATAAGGTTTAAGGTAGGAATAATACCTCACTGGATCTTTCGCTGTATTCCCAGAACACATTTTGCACGTAGGGTTTGACCCTTACCTGGTCCCCTCTAAAGTCAATGAAGGGATGGACAAATAGGGCTGTCTTTGGGGCCCAATGCTGCTGAGTGTACAGCTGGATTTAAAGCTAGACCATTAAGGGAACATTACCTTCTCCATGATCTGTTTCACTGTGAACAGTCCGCTGATAGAGGAAGGCATGCATGCGTCAGCAGTCAAGAAAATGTGCCCTTACTCAGAAGCCTGTGTAGCCCGGCTTCCTAAATGATGGGGAACACTTTTCTAGAGCTATTTTACACTAACTAAAAAAATTGCCTTGGATATCTCTAAGTCTTTTGTTTGGTTGGTTGGGTTTTGTTTTGTTTTGATTTTTGAGAAATGGTTTCTTCGTGTAGTGCTGGCTGTCCTGGAACTCTCTTTGTAGACCAGTCTGGCCTTGAACTCACAGAGAGCCCACTGTCTCTGCCTCCTGAGTGCTCGGATTAAAGATGTGTGCCACCATGCCTGGTCTATCTCCTATCACCTTGTGACCCATGCCATATGAAGAAAAACTTAAAAAACAAAACCAAACCCAGCAGAAATCAAACTACAAGTATTCTCCCGATTCACACAATGTCCCTACTGTAATGATTCAGTGGCTGTCAGAGACATAAAGTACGAGTTGTAATATATCTAATTCAGATTTATTATAAAGAGAGAAGCCTGGTTTTCCTGTGGTTAGCATCTGTTTACTATATGAAAAGGCCTGGTTCTAGGTTTAGGAGAACCAGTGCATCTCATTTCTCACTCAGTGAACATACATGTCCCCTTTCTATCTTTACTTCTGTCCTAATAGTTACTGTACAGCGGCTACTTGGTTTATTTAGGGAGATCCAATATGGACATCTGAACGAGACTAGACACTGTATGCTTACTGCCAGGAGAAATAATCTGGGTGGGATGCTTTGATGAGGCAACATAAAGAGACTGATCAACTGGCACGGCAATTATAAAGCACAAAGTAAAGCCAGGAGAGTTAGGTGGAACTGTGGTACTGCCTTCTGATCTAACTATGCTATGGAATTAGGCAGTGGTGATGGCTGCGTAGCCTTGAGAATACACTAAGTAAGACCCACACAATTATACAGTTTAAAAGGGTGACATGAAATATGAATTATATCTCAATTAAAAAGAACCTTCAAAAAAAGACTCTGTCTCTATGTATTTAAAAAATGCAGGAGAGCTGAGGTTTAAAAATGTGCAGAAGCAGTTTAAACATTCGGTAAAAGCCCAGCTTATAATGCATCAAAATCTTAAATATACATGACTTTATCCAGACAAGACAAATTTGCTAAGGATAAAAAAAGTAAAGATAGAAATCTCTAGGTTAAAAACTTCTATAATATGGTTTCAGCTAAGCCCATCACCTATGACCTTCCTATCCTCTAAACTCATACAGCGATGCACACTATGAGCCTCTCAGATGACACTGCAGCCACTGTCACAATCTTCCTGGCTTTCCCTTTATCTCAGCAGGCCTTAAAAGGATGATGAAAGTGTAGAGTGCAATTTAAACGTGAAATGATTTTTAAGCTGGATACCATTTTTAGATTATCTATGCCTCTGTTCCCCTATCATTAGTTTAGACAACTGTACTAAGGAATGTTTGTCAACTTGACACAAAACTAGTGTTACCTATGAAGAGGGAATCTTAATTGAGGAATTGCCTCAATCAGACTTGCTTGTGGACATTTTCTTAATGGCTAATTGATGTAGGAGAGCCCAGCACTGAGGATGGTGACACACTTAGGCAGACTTGTGACTGTTCAGTTTTGTGAGCTGTGCCACAATACGGCTCATGTATGTGTCTCACTTAACTCTAGCCATCCCAACACAAGTAGATGCCTGATGTGACGGATATACATTCATTCACTAATACCTGACCTTAATAATTGCACTGTCTTAGAGTTTATCATAAGAGATCCTTTTAGAGGGGGCAGCCAGTTGCAGCATGGAGATGCTGATGTGTTTTTTTTTTTTTTGTTTGTTTGTTTTTTTTTTTTACTTTACAGAAGCTTCCTGTTAGTTTGTTAGTTACCTGTATGCTTTGGGCCTTTATGGTATCAGTTCTTTTGATCACCAAAGACTCTCTTTTCAGAGTGGCAGCCCTATTACCCATCTTAGAGGGCAAAGAAAACAGAAGAAAAGGTTAAGGAGAGACATTAAAACTTAAATGACATCAAATGTTTTTGTGTGTTTGTGTAGTATACGTGTGTGTGTGTGTGTGTGTGTGTGTGTGTGTAGGCAGATGCTGACAATCGTCAATCACTCTTCACCTTCTTTTTGAGACAGTCTCTCTCCCTGTGCCTGGAGCTTGCCATTTTGGTTAGGCTGGCTGGTCAGTGAGCTCCAGGAATCAAACTCTTTCTACTCAATCCAAGAACTAATGGGTTTCGGATTCATGCCACTGTGCCTGGTTGATATGTGGACGCTGGGGACCTGAACTTGGGTCTTTCTGCTTGTGTGGCAGCCACTTTACCAACTGGGTCATCTCTCTAGCCCTGACACATACTACTTCTTAAACAAATTGCTCAAATTTATTTAAAGGATCTGAACCACTTTAAACACAAATGGCAAAGGTGTGGGAGAACAGAAGAGAATGGGGAATGGCACAAGGAAACAAAGCAGAAACAAAGGCTTCTAAATGTTTTATTCACAAACTTTAAAACTTGAGTATAAAAGGTGACATAATGTCTACCCAGATACAGGCTTGGTCTGATGCTGTTGGAGGAAACAGCAGGAAAGATGGATACTATTACTGATTTTCTTTGCTGGATGAAAATAAAAAGGGAGGGCAGAGACAGCAATGGGTATGGGGTGTTAAGTTTTCACAATAAGCCTTCAAAAACTTTCAATGCACACTATTCATCAAATCACCTAAAGTTCTCAGGCCCTACTTAGCTTAGCTGAGTTCAAAAGGGCTTCAAAAACAAGGGCTCCTTTAATCTTTACAGCTTTATAGTAAATTACACACTCTTGTAAAATAGGAGGACCAGGCAGAAGGGGACAGGTCTTTCAGCCCCACCCTTCAAAGCCATTTTCAGGCAGCTTGCCAAGGCTCACTGTGGCACAGCTAGCTCAAGTATTTCTTACTCTGTGCCATGTCTTGATTTTACATGTGGGTTAGTTCCAGCTTTGGCAGTTACTTGAATTTACAGTATAGTTTCTGTATTTGGTTTTCATCAAAAAAATGTATCCATGTCTTTGTTGTGTGAAACCTTTAAAAGTGAGACCTATCACTGTTAATGAAATGATCCCCATGAATCCCAGCATAATGTACAGATGAAACGTGATTAAAAACAGACTCTCTTCATGAGCTCATGAAAACCAGTAGCCCTCAGAGGCAGCAAGCTTCAGAGATTTAGTGGGTCACTCAGTTCTCTTACATATAAAACAACTTGTTGACCTTATAAGTTGAATTGCTCTGACTTCATTCTTTAAAAATGTTTTTTAGTAGCATATATTAATTATATATAATGATGGGTTTCATTATATTTTCATCCACGTTCATAATTTATCATACTCACCTGACCTCCCCCTCCCTATTAACCCTTCTATGTTTCTTCCATTCCTGCTAATCTCCTCCTTTCCAGCTAGTTCCCTTTCTCCTTTCCTATTTTTTTCTGTGTGACCTGACTGGTTGGGTTTGTTTATAGAAGCAACTTCAGCTGTTTAAGTGGTTTTCCTAACATTATATGCAAAAGGTTTTCCTCTAATATGCAGACAGAAGCTGGATGAATCTGAAAGCCAAGTTCAGGGTTAAAAAAATGGCAACAAGAATTTTTTTATCTGTTATTCTCACCACTTCTAACACCTTAAGAGAAAAGAAAATAGAGTGCAGGGAATCTTATGAAAGAAGGGGGAGACAGAAAGAAAAGACCTGGAGGGGACAGGAGTTCCACAAGGAGAACAACAGAACCAAAATATCTGGGCACAGGGGTCTTTTCTGAGACCGATACTCCAACCAAGGATCATGCATGGAGATAACCTAGAACCCCTGCACAGATATAGCCCATGACAGCTCAGTCTCCAAGTGGGTGTCCTAGTAAGGGGAACAGGGACTGTCTCTGACATGAACTCAATGGCTGGCTCTTTGATCAACTTCCCCTGAAAGGGGAGCAGCTTTAACAGGCCACAGAGGAAGACAATGCAGCCAGTTGTGATGAGACCTGATAGACTAGGGTCAGTGGAAGGGGAGGAGGACTTCCCCTATCAGTAGAGGAGAGGAGCATGGGAGGAGATGAGGGAGGGAGGGTAAGACAGGGAGGGAATGAAGGAGGGGGCTACAGCTGGGATACAAAGTGAATAAACTGTAATTAATTAAAAAAAATAAAGTACCTAGCAAAAAAAAAAAAGTCAAGATGAAGAGAGAGAGAGAGAGAGAGAGAGAGAGAAGAAGAAGAAGAAGAAGAAGAAGAAGAAAAGAGGAAAAAGAGACCTCCTTTGGAAATACATGTCCAACTTTCCCTACCTGATTGGCCACTGTAAGAGACTGGTTATTTCTGCCAACAATTTGTAGTGAGTTGATGTGTTTAAACTGACCCTTTGATACCACCCCTTTCCAACACACATTATAAATCCTATACTATTAATTTGAGACACCTGTTATATGGCTAAAAGCAGACATAAGTTAAGCACAAAACAAAGTTGCAGCCCCTTAAGTATGTCAGACTGCTGTTCACAAAGGGAGGGGAAGACCATCTCTGCAGACACACACACACCAACACAGAGCGTGTCACAGCAGACCTTAAAGGCTTACCGCGCTGGAGGTCAGGTTCGCCCTCTTCTCTGCCTTGCTCAGTGCTACCACATCACCTTCGATCAAGCTGAGCCTCTGTGTCAGGTGACTGAGTGTCTCACTCACTCCTTCGAGTTTAAGGTCATTCTGTCTCTGGTATCCCACTACAGTACTGTTGACCTCCTCTAAGAAATTGTGAAGGTACAGGATATCCTAGATTGGAAATAAAGCGAGTTGTAGGATCCACCTAAATACTGCAACTAGACAAGCAGGACAGGAGTAACACAACAGCCATTATTGTGTCAACTTACTGAGGTAAGGTACTTTTCCTGGCTGTGACAACATTGTTTACACCTACTTGTTCTTCCTACTCTAAATTGTTCCCTGTAGTTTGTCTTTTTTACTACTTTGTGGGTTCCTCTTTCTTCTACCCTTCTCCACCCGTTCAGTCCCCTAACACGAGATATGAGAGAAAAAAAGAATAGAGAGGAAAGAGGGCGACATTATTGTTAGACTACTTCCTGCTGATAAGGGGTGTTGAGGTCCTTGGGACAAGTTTGATCTTCCAGGTCAGGATATCTAATTTCTTCTTCTTCTCCCTGTTTCTTTGTGCACAACTCCTTAGCAAACTACAATCAACAGCAACCAACAACCCATATGTTGGAGCTCTAGCATTTCTACACCCTCTGAAAACTTTCCAGAATTCCAAATGTCACACAATTGCAGAAACTATCTGCAGCTGGCAAAATCATGCCTCTGCTAAAGCACGAGGCAAATCATAGCCAGCTGCTGCAAAGCAACCCCATATCTCCACACCTGGAAAATGAAAAAATATTCTTATAATATTTCTGTATTGTTTAAAGAAACCAAAATTCCCAAATTCCCACTACAGTTCCCAATATGCCTTCTCTTGGATTGTTTGGCTTCAGTTAGATAGGAGGGTGAAGAAGAGAACTCTCTGTGAGCTCCCACTCTAGTCCCTCAACGCAGTGAGTTTGGGAATTACTTTCCCAATGTTTACCTCATTTGCTGGCAGGAGAGCCTACTGGGTTATTAACTGAAGTCCCATTAACCTAATTGGTCAGAACAAAACTATCTCTTAGGAACAGTACCAATTACTGATTTGGCTTTTCTAACAAAAGCACAGCAAGTAGTGAATTATTTAGTACAAGATTCAATTATTTTTATTGACATCTTCAAGTACTGATTACTACTTTAAAAGGAATGATGACCCTTGGTTTTAAAGGGCATTAAACTCGGGATAGAAATTCTTAGAGAAGATTTTCTTTAATGAGATTCTGATCCCAATAGCCCTCTCCTTCTCCTCTCCTGCCTCTTGTCTTTAAACTTTGGAAAACACCAAGTTTCAAGGATATGTTTCTTAACATTCTTAAGAGTTTCCTGTGGCTCAAAAGAGCAATCACTCTGGATTTTGCATCCATCTTTCACTTGCCCAGATTGCTATTTGTCACAGAGCTTCAGGATAACCTGATAATTCTGTCTTTCAAGATGTGAAAAGGAATTTACTTCAGTGGTTGACATACAAAGGAGAAAGTAGAGTACCACAGAACATACAGGATTCCCAAGTACCAACATATATCCTTTTCTGCTTAGCTATTAAGGGTGAGGTATGAGGTACCTACTGGGGCATTATACATTAAGCCCACGTTCCTCAGACTGCCTCCACAGCCCACCATAGTCCCAGACAAAAAATACCTGTTTTGAAGTTTCACTGTGGGTTTTATTGTCAAGTTCTGATGTAGCTGAGATCTGGTTGCTTCCATTGCTTTCCTTTAAGAAATGTTAAAACACACACACCCATACACATGCAAAAAGAAAAAAAAGAAAAAAAACCTGTTAACACAACTAGAAGTTAGTATACAGGCAACAATTAACTATTGTAGAGGAATTTTAATTCAGAACATGGCTGACTTGGCAAGATATCACATCCAAAGCCTTCTAGGTCTGTGTGATCTGTCTGGAATACAGACATGCCTTTAATACCAGGAGACAGGGGCACACAAATCTGAGTTCTAGTTGGTGTTGTTCAGGTAGTTTGGTTGAGTCAGTGAGAGGCAGTGCAGACACAGGTGACGACAGAAAGAGCCAAAGAATAAGGAACCAGAGAATTATAACGGATTGATAGAGTTAGTTTAGGGATAAGCAGAGTAATTCAGTGAGAAACTGAGAGAAGCCAGATTGAATGAGTCAGCTTGGAGAGTAGTTTGAGCCAGCCAGCTGAGTTGAACCAGCTAGTTAGAGTTCAGAAAGAGCTAGAAATGGCAAGCTTATTCAGCAGTATAAGCTTTCCTCCCCATGCTCTAGTCCCAGGGGCTGAAAAGATTGTATGGAGGCTGGAAGCTTCCAGGACTAGGCCTAGTTTAGCAGATGGAGGCAGTAAACAATTAAATCAGGCAAATAAACGTTATTTTTACAAATTACTAGGTTACTTAACCATCTGGGATGGTCCTGGAACACTCTTGCCTCCCTAGAATGTAGTCATAGATTAATCTACAGTAGTCCCCCAAAACTTACAGTGTGACCCATCAAGGGTATCAAGGGTATCATGGACTTTTGAAGGTGCCCAGCCTGAAGCAGAGGCGGGACAGCAGTATCTAGAGTACCCCAGGAATCTGAGTTCCTTCTAGTATGCTTCTCAGTTTCTTAATGAAATGAATCCCTGAGAAACTCCTCTCTCCTTGCCTTCATTACCTGTACTGAAGGGAAACTTCATAATCAAGGGCACAGGCAGTAGGTGGCTTTCCCTTACAGACATGCGAATATCCACACGGGAGGGTGACTCTTCCCTTTCCTCCCCATGCTCTAGTCTCTCTTTGCAGAGACCTAAGTATAACACGTTTAGATACATTTTCACTCTTTACTAAAAAGCTGCATAGCTGATTTCTTTGCAACCCACAGTTGTAGTTTAGTACAGTGTGCTAGTGATTACTATTGGTAGTCATGGAAGGTTAAAAGATGTAGATTCAGTTACAACAGTGTAACTGACAAAATAGTTCTCCTTAAAATGTGAAATCCTATACACTTACCAACCTTGCTTTCATATAAATTGAGGGTAAAATTAAAAAGAAAAAGATATAACATCCATATAGAAAGCAGAAAATATTCAGTTAGGAAAAAGTATTTTAGGAAATCGCTCATTATTTTGAGAGCATGCGCAAGACAAAGGAAGAGTGAGTTGGAGAGATCTTTGTTATTATGGTCACAAAGGTCCTCAGTGGCACGTGGAATTAGAAGCGAACTGTCTGGACACCTCACTGACAAGTTTCCTTTTAGGTTAGCTCCACTAAGTAACAAACAGTGACTCGTTTAATAACCGAGTCCTGGTTCTGAATAAACGAAAACCTCTTTTCTGGAACTCTCTGATGCAGCTAAAGTTCCTTGGTACAAACTGCCAAGTTTAGAGTCTGAAGTGAACTTGTTTCTCCATCAGGACAGCAAGGGCTGTGACCCCTTTTCTCTGCCTTCATAAATCCTTCAGGGAGCTGCTACGAGGTGGTTATTGCCCAGATGACTGTGGAAAGCTTGTATGTATAGCTGCATGAGGAGAATGAGGTAGCTGAAAATGGCAAGGTTTTGCTCACATCTCAGCTATTTGTTGTTACAACAAACCATCCTCAAATTTGGGGGTTGAAACAACAACAAAAAAATTTTTAGTTCTCACTGTTCTGTGGGTTCCCCAAGCACATCTTGGGAGCTGGTGAGGGTGGATGCCATGTGGTCTAGTCTGAGATCACACATATTCCACTGACACCTGGTAGGGGCTGGATCATCTAAGATGACCTTTCTTCCTCTAGATCATCTCTTACCCTGGATTCTTAGCACTGGGGTATAAAATCTTGCTTAAATCCCTGATACTCAGAGGAGTGAAAAATAGTAACTTGCTGGAGTGGTTTGCTTTGCAGCGACAAAGGAGACATTTTTCCAGTTCCCTTTCCTTCTTTTCCCACGTGTTCCATCTTAGGAAAATGTGTTATGAGTATCTCCTCTAGTATCATGTTTGCAAAAGACCTTAACTGTTTGACTTACAGAGTGCAGACTGATGAGAACACATTTTGTTTTGTTTTCAAAGCAGGCACATAGTAGGGTTTGCTCAGCTCAATGGGAAATTAGAATCAAGACTCTGACACAGGAAATGGTGAGCAGTCACATGCTGCCTTTCTGTAGTGTACAGATCTTACCATATTGCTCTGCAGTAATTCCAAGGTTTTCTTGTGTTCATCCACAGTTTCCTGTATTGCTTCTACAGCAAGATGGACACTGTTTAAAGTATTGCCAATGGAGGCTACACTCTGCATAGAAACAATGTAGAAATCTCAGCCTTTTAAAGAACTTTATTAAGCATAACTGACACGCAATGCATGTTCATATTAAAAATGTATAATGACCCTGTGCAACTGCTTCCATACTATAAAGCAATAAACACTCCCCCACTCCAATTTCTTCATGCCTGTCTGTAATTTTCCCCTTCCTGTCCCAAGGCAACCATTTATTCATTGTCTGTCACTATATATCGGTTTATATTTTCTGGAGCTTTACATAAGAAAATGAGTATATCCTTTCTAAAACAATTTTTAGAATGTCTTCTATTACTAAGTATAACTGAGATTCATTTGTGTCTAAGCTGCTCAGCATGTTACATGCCATTGGTATGGTTTTATCAACTTGTTAGTAGGCAGTTAGGTTATTTTCAGTATTTGACTATTACAAATATAGCTGCTATAAAAATTCATGTAGAAATCTTCATGTGGACTTGTACCCTCATCTCCCTTTCATACTTTCTCATTAACACAATACAAAGATGAATAGCAGGCCATCTGGTAAATCTATGCTTAACTTATTAAAAAACTTACAAATGATCTTCTAAAACGGTTGTGCCATTTTACAGTCTAATTAGCAGTGCTTAAGAGAGTTCCTATTACTCCATACATTCACAAATATAAGTGCTGATGATTTAAAAAATTTGCCCATTCTAATGGCAGTGTAGTGGCATGCTATGATTTTAATTTACACTAAAGCACTAACTGAATATAGATCAATTTTAATTATTTCAAATTATATTCAAACTATGAATTCCATGTAATTTATACTGAAACAAAAAAATATAAACATTCATTCTTTATATGAACAGTTTCACACACACATACACACCTCAAGCTATTTTCTCAATTAAGGAAGACAATACTTTTTTTTTCTTTTTTTCAAAGATTTATATTTAATTATGTGTAACTGTGTAAGTCCCTAGAGGCCAATGTTGTTTGAACCTCCTAGAGCTGGAAGGTTGTAAGTTAATGTGAGCTCCCTGATGTGGGTGCTAGGAATCAAACCTGGGTCCTCTGCAAGGACAGGCTCTTAACAGCTGAGCATCAGCACCAATACTTGTTCTTAAATAAAAGATATTTTCCTAAAACAATTATTTATAAGTCAAATACTAAAAAATAAATAAATAAATAAATAAATAATGAAAATAAAAATAAAATCTGGGACACAAGGAGAACATGGCCACTCTTAAACTATGTGTGTTAAACACCCTACAGGCAAGCTGATGGCCAGAGCCAATGCTGTTGATTGTCAACAGTCAGGAGTATGAGGTGATGACTTTTGAGCAAAATTGGGTGTGTATGATCTTCAGCTCTTAGGAAACCCAGTTGACAGTAGAATTCTGTCAGGAATGAGTGCTGTTAGGTAAGGGCAACTACCTATTTTACTCTTATTAGTCCTAAAGAACTCAAGTATGCAGAGGGCATGACTCAGAAGTCATCTTTTAAGAAATTATGCATATTTGTATGATTGTATGTGTGAGTATATGCATGTGAATGCAAGTGCCTGTGGAGGCCAGAAGAGGTCACTGCATCCCCCAGAGCTAGAGTTGCAGAAACCAAACTCCAGTCCTTGAAAAAAGCAGTACGTGCTCTTAACCAATGATCCATCTCTTTAGCCTCCATTAGTTACTTAAAAAAAAAAACCCAAAGAATGTTATTATTTGGTAGGTTTTATCCCTTTATTAGAATATACTGTTAATTTACAGTCTGACATTAACATTTTTAACCAAAGTTATTCTAATGTTTTGAAGTGGACTCATGTAGCCCAGGCTTGCCATATAGCCATGGATGACTTTGAACTTCTGACCTTCCTGCCTCTACTTTCCATGTACTGGGATTATAGGGCTACCTCACTGCAACTGGTTTTATGTGGTACTGGGGATCAAACCTAGGTCTTTGTGCATGTTAGGCAAGCACTCGACCAACAGAGCTGCATCCCCAGTCTCCAAGGCAACTTTTTAAAATTACACTGGAACAAGAACTCAACAGGAATGATAACATTTTCAATATTTAGAAAATTACATGACATAAATGAAAGCTAGCTAGAATTTGGAGATGAATTATCATTTCAAAAGTGTACCATCACTTAAAATAAAAGCAGTAGAATCACAAAGATAACATCTGAGGTGAACTCCTCTGCTATGTAAGCATTGATGCTGTAAAAGCCACAGGCACCCAAAGACTCCCTACTGGCTGGCTGCCTGAGCCCATCATGTCACAGAAGGTAGTGAGCTTAGGGGTTGTTTTTTAGGGAAGCAGCTGACAGATTATGTAAATCCTAGAATGAAACTATGGAACTAGTATTTCGACCAACTGCAAAATGCCTGGCACATACTGATGGAAGCTCCACAGTGTTCACTGAATCATCGAAAGCAAGAATGAGCCAGCTTCCTTTGCTACTGCAAGACTGCCAAGGGGCTTCTGTCAGGCTACAGATGCCAGCCTTTTCCTCCCTGATCCTTGGGGATTGTGACAATAACCTGCCGCATTAAAGTTGCTTCAACCTTTTTAATTTAAATGTTGAGAGCACATGACCACCCTGGACAAGTACAAGTTACAGGGACTGAGCACACAAAGCTATGGTTGTAAAATATCAAGTTTTATTTTTCTTTGTGGTTTAGCAATTTCTTACTTTGTGTAATAATTTAGATATTTATGGACAGAAACTGGCATATAATTGAATCAAACATTACAGGGTAACTTTTAAAAACCACAAATCCTAGATTTAAAATTCACTGTGCAAGGGGCTCTTATTTCCTAAAACCTTTCTTTAATTTCTTGTGAGGACAATGTTCCCTGTGTTCAATCAGAAACCGTGTTTTCCCCTCCAGCTTCTTCCTACTCTACCCGTTCAGCTCTCGGCACTCCTGATTCTCATCCTTCTGGCTTTTACTTGTTTACTGTTAGGTCTGCATACCATGGGTCAAACAGATAGAAATTATGACCTGCTGTCTGCACAGGCCCTATGGTACACAAAGGTAATTGTTCAGGACTTATAGAAACATATTCAGAAAATAATACTGAGTTATTTCAAAGTAAGTGTTTTTCAATTTATAGCCTAGAGTGTTTAAAAGTACCCTTTGTCACACATCTGCTCCCTAATTTTCAACTTCAGCATTTCATCTTAGATAATTTTTAAACAGCTCAACAAAACAAACAACTCAACTCCTCTCCAGTCATGGAAAAGTAGAGATTTAGATCAACTCTCACCCACAAATGGTCTGGACTCATGACAAACTGAAAAGTAAACTGTTACCCGATAACACTATGGTCCCAGAGAGCAGTTCTGGAACCCAGACAGGAAATGGCAAACTGTAGGAACCATAGAGTAACCTCTCGAAAAGAAAATTAAAGGCCCAACTTTTAAAGCTGTTTTGAACTCTACAGAACACAATGATATACTACACCGCTCTTTTGGAGCAGCTGATTTCAAATGCTAGGTTTTCAAAGTCAATTCTCAAGGTGCCAGAATTCCAGGCTTATGGGGACCACAGTGCCCAAACACAGCACTTACCTTCTGAAGTCCCTCTACAGTGCTTGGCAGGCTAAGTAAGTCTGCAGCAGACTTGACATTGCTTTTCAGGTGGTTCACTGCAGAACTCAACTGAGAAATCTGAAAAAGATTAATAATCAATGAAAACAGAATCTGTAAAGTATATGGTTCCCACACAAACTCTACAGTTCACAATGTCAGCTCACAGGAGCAGAGAAACTGTGTACTGTAGGAAGAGCTGAGGTTCAGAAAGCAGCAATAACCCCCTCTTTCCCTGCCCAATTTGAACTGGTGCCAAAGAGGCAGAGCCAAGTGTCATTCTTTACCTTAGTGCCTAGTAGTGGCAAAACTCTTAAATTACTCAAAAGGTGCTCCGACTACCACACAATCCTTCAACAGTTGAACAGGAAAAGACTGATGATCAAGGACCACTTCGAAACTTCACTTTGGTAAAATAGAACACCTCAGTTATTTAACTGAACTTTGTTCCTGTCCACGTGGGGATGTATATTATAGAGTAAAAGCCCATCATTACAAAATATAGTCCACAGGAACGGTGTCCTGACAACGTGAACAGCGCTTTCAGCTACTCGGGGACTTGGTTTTGGTTTAATAATGTGATTAATATTTCAAACTCAATAGCTCAACCAAAGCATTACTTTGTACCCTGAAGGAGCTCAATAAATACCCACTGACTCACTGAAGGATGCAATGAATGTATTAAAACAGAAATGAATAAAAATAAAATGTGGCTTCCTTTCTGCTACTTAGGGGTGGGATTCTAAGGAGCTGTACTCCTATCTTGAATAGGGATTAGGGGAACTTGTGTAACATGCAATTTCAGGCTTCGAGTTCACATTCTAACAAATGCAGTATGACTCAAAACACTCTTTAAAGAGTCTTGGTACCAGACTGCTTTCTTATTCTAAGTTTCAGGATAAAGGCCTACCAACAGCTGTAATGAATGAACTCACCAACACCTGACTTTCTGGGCACTTGCTACAGGCCAAACTGTGGCAGGGATGTGAGACACAGCAGAACCTTGATGTTTGGCATTTTCTCTGTGCACCTTAGCAGCAACTCCAAGGATTTAGCCAGAACATTCTCCTAAGCTACTTCACAATTCCTGGCATACAGATAGTGCGAGGCTTGTTGTATTAAGCCACTAAGTTTGGAGATTAAATGTAACCCAGCAACAGACGATTAATATAGGTTACAAGAATTAAATGACACATGTGACTATAGCTCTTAGCACATTACTTAGTACAAACGATCAAATCAGTGGCAGTTCTTTGAAAGTAAAATTTAATGAATACTTACACATGCTATGTTCCCTAAGTGTTTTCAAATCCAAAGACTTCTCACCAATGCTCTAACTCTATACATTTCGCAAAAAGGTGAGATACCTCAATCTATACTGAAAAATACTTTCAGAAAGCTATAAACCTCTGACAGTAGCAATTGTATTGTATCAGGGAGGTTTTTTTTTTTTTTTTTTTTGCTATTCCTCTACTAAGCTATGGATGATACTGAGGCTTCAAAGAACATAAGGAAATTGGCGTTCTCATGCACTGTTCATGGGGATGTGAACTGGAAAAGGGCTGTTTTGAAAGAACAGCCCTCAAATGTTTATATTCTTTGTTCAGCAAACTCATTTATAGAAACCTATCTTGAAGATTCCTTGCTCACAGGCACAAAGAAATATGCACAACAGGCCTTTTTTATTTATACTAGCAAAAAAACCAGAATAATCTAAATGCCTATCACTAGATATGTAATATAGTCAGTGAACAAGGGACATCGCAGTACACCACACACTGAGTGTCTCCGCTTATTTACATGCACACTTGGTGTAACCCAGAAGCTATTGTAGTTTTACAATACATAGGAGGTACAGACTGTGTTATTGACATGAGATAAGCATGTGCGAATGTGAAGGGAAGGGACCCCTCTTCCGGGATGTTTTACAATTATTCTACATGTCCTATTATGTGGTTTCCTTCAGACACTAGTGAATAAACTTCTTTCACTGACAACTGGCCAGATCAAAAAGGGATAATAACACACTGCTCTGAAGTGCTCTGGGTAGAGACTGTCCTGTCAGGTGCTCCGGTATCTTGAGGCTATGGCAGAGCTAGTCAGAAGTAGCTTAGGAACATTATCGTTTCAGAGAAGGCCAGTGTGGCTGCTGGCGCCATTTCACTTAAGATTAGAGAAGAAATAAAAGCCAACATGAAGGACCAGGTTAGGCCTTCTCTCTGTGTCACAAACACTGTAGGTCTAGACTCCAGAGTGTCAGCTGCATCCCCAAGACAGTCTGCTCTGGAGAGCTCATCATCACTGCTGCATTACTGATCACACAAATGTGTTTTTCTCATTTGTAAGATATGGGTCACAGGCTGGTCACCAGCTCAGGGGTGCATCCCCACAGCACAAAGCCGGAGTCTACCTGTCAGACTCTCCTCCTCAGCACAGCCAAACTGTGTGGGGAACTACAGTGAATGTGCGTGTACAGCGGGCTGGGAAGATAAGCACTCTTCCATTATCTCTGGCCTCAAACAGACACAGTCTGGAATGTGAGACTGGATACGAGCATTACAACAGAACTTTTCAAGAAACGTCATATTTTACAATCTGAAGACACTAAAACCCTAGTTAAATAGAAACCACTAAGGAAAAAAATCACATTCTAGTTATGACTAGAATGAGTTATGACTTCTATGCATATTATGTAATTTTCTTTTCAGCAAAAGAAAAAATAACCCCTGTAGACTATTTGCTCAATATAAATTATATACTTCAAAAGCAGAAATGCTATTTTTTTTCTTTAGGGTTGAACTTAATGCTCTGCAAATAGGAAAAAAATTATAAAAACAGATAACCACAAATGATGAAGATTACAAATAGGGTTTCTCTACACAGTCCTGACTGTCCTGGAACTCGCTATGTAGGTTAGGGTGGCCTTAAACTCCAGAGATGCTCCTGCCTTTATCTCCATCCACAATGCTGGAAAATTAAAGATCCACCTGGTCCCTCTTAGTCCTATAAAAATGGAAGGAAAACAGCTCCAAAACCTAAGTACTTCAGTGCCAGATTGCTACACTCTGCGACTTTGGGTCTGCGTCTCAATTTTCTTCTTCTTTTTTTTTTTTTAAGACAGGGTTTCTCTGTGTAGCCCTGGCTGTCCTGGAACTTGCTCTTCAAGGCTGGCCTTGAAGTCACACCGGCCTGCCTCTCCTTCCCAAGTGCTGGGATTAAAAAACGTGCACCCTCACCACCAGGCAGGTCTCAGTTTTCTTATCTGAGTACTGTGGGTACCACTTCTTACCTCATGTGACTAAGGACACAGAGGAGATCATACATGTGATACAGCTAACAGAGTAGCCTGCACAAAGAAAGCTTTTAATGTGTGACAGTTATCATCACTACCCAGGATTTTCATCACTGGCTTGAGGCTGAGAACAGTGTACAATCTCCTGCTGCAATTAGAAGCAAATGCAAATGACCATCATACTTGTGTTTAAAAGAGGAGAAGGGAATGAGAGAACTTCAGAAGGGCACCTAAGGTCCTTGATAGGTTTGTTGATTTACTTTATCTCTGGCTTCCTTCTGTGCCCAACTGGGGCTATAAGGAAGAACTAAAATTTCCTCAATACTCGTTTCACTTATTTATTCTTTTACAAAGGTAGTCCGTTCTTGTTATTAGGTATTTATCTTCTGAAAAGCTATAGCAAACATTGTTGAATTAGTGAATGCTTAAACCACTGTTCCTGGTGGGGGCTAGGTTCCTGTGAGCCCTTTGGCCACATTTTCAGTAACTTATCAATAAAATATGTATCCTTACTTTACATTTGTTCCTGTTTAAACATCTTATTTAACAGCACTGCTGACTTATTAACCCTGAACTCACAGCTGGCAGCACTGAAAGTGATGCCTGAACGAAGCCCACCTAACAGCAAAATTGCCAACAAAGAGCACAAAAATGTGAAAAGTGACATGAACTAAACCACAGAACCCCATTTGTTCAGTGTGAGGACAGAACAAGAAGCCAGGGTGCTCCACTTTGCAGTGTCTGTTGAGTGACTCAGAAGCTATTGCTGCTGTGCACATGTCAATGGACAATTGAAAAAGCCTCACACTTATACATTCTGAGTAGATGAAATGGTGAGGGTCAACTGTACTGTCCTACTGAGAGTAACCTTCTCTTTCTCCAGAGTCCATCAGGATGTAGCCCAACATTTCTGGGAAAGCTGATTCCGGTCTGGATTGGATACTCATTTAAATATGCCCTCAGAATTTGAACCACATGGACCTGCTAATGTCAAGGTGCTTACTTTCCTATTTTCTGTTTGTCCATAAGATCACTGTGGTAAGGAACTACAGCTTTTTGGTTCTAAATCTACCGTAGTGTGAACGTTGGTGCTCCCTTGAAAGTTTCATGTTCATAATTTCCAGTGTGAGCCAGGAGTGGTGGCTCACACGTGTAATTCCAGCACTTGGGGAGGTGGAAGGCAGAGGCAGGTGATCGCTGTGAGTTTGAGGCATGCCTGATCTACAAAGTGAAATTCTGTCTTGAGAAAAAAAAAAAAAGTCTCTTATGTGGTGGCAGTAAGAGGTGGGGACTTCAGGCATGATAGGAGGGGCCTCTACTTTCATGAACAGCCCAATGAAGCTACTTTGCCTCTTTGGCTAATGAGGATATAAAGAAGGCACCATGCATGAAGCAGACAGTGAGCCTTCACCAGAGACCAAATCTGCTGGCCCTCTGATCCTGGACTCCTGGGCCTCCAAAACTTTGAGTCATAAATTCCTATTGTTCCTAAGTTACCTAGTCTAAGACATTTTGTTAGCACAGCCTGGATGGAATAAGGCAGAATCAAAGGCTTTTAGCTCCATAAAAGCAGCTCTGTAAACACCTGTCTCCATAGAAAGGCAGCCAGCTGTCCTGTAACTGTCGAGAGGGAACGGGTGTAGAAGCTGAGGTTATGAATGAAACAGAGTGTAAATGAAGTTTCAGATACTAGCTTAAAGGGTGCCAGCATGGGTTTCTCTTTCTCTTCTAGTACCATTTTGGGGTAAATGCTAACTACCCATGAAAGGCTGCACTTGACACATTAACTGGACACATTCAAACCACAGCATATTGTCATGCATGTTTACTGGGAAATGGAGACGTTTTTCACTGTGGGTTACAGGCAGATGTCATTTTCCTAGACCACTGAATTTCAGGTTTAAGCACTGAACTATCCTACTCCTAAAATGTGGCTGAAAGCTGTAACTTTCTTAATCTCAACAAAGATGACAAACATAACTGTAAGTATTTTTTATGTGTATTATTCATTTGGTACTTGAGTTTTCTTTTCAATGACCAATTAAACTAAAAACAATAACAAAAGCCAAACTAAAACAGCACCAACAACAACCAAAAACAAACAAACAAAAATCCAAAACCCAAACCTGAGAACTGTGCTATAAATCCCAGTGGTAACTATAATTCTTTACATGTGTGAGAATCTTGGTCAAAATCCTTAGAATAAACACCATTTCTCTGGTAGATTCCTTCTTTTGGAAGTAATGCCTACTGAGCTCTGTGTAACCCTGAACAAGTTTGTCTAGACTTGGTTGTCTGGTCGAAGCATTTACCTGACTCTACCGCCTGCTCCTACGCTATTCTCGCTGACCATTAGATCTGACTTCCCACCTACAGCACTATAATCCAGTGCTAACCCTCTAAGTTTGTAAGCTCTGTCAAACAAAACCCAATAGCAACAAGGCTATCTCTTTTCCTTGGAATTAGATGGCATTCCTTTTTATTTGATATTTTACTACTCTGTAGAAATAGCTCACTCAATTTCAAGTTCCTCTATAATGCTCTACCTCTGTGGACCTCTGTGCATGTACAGAAATACCTGGTGAATGCACTTCAAATTTTGCCAAATAATAGTTTGTTGTTAAGCCCAAACCCTACTATTTTAACATGTTGTGATCACAACAGTCAAACTCCAATTAGGAAAAAATCTGAATTTATAAATTCATACTAAATGCTCACCAACCAATATAAATTCATTTCCATAGCTTACAAAGGAATAAGGTCACACTTGTGCTACCTGCTTATTCATCTCTGTGATGTTGATCCAGACCCTGCTCAAGCCCAGCTCCCCAGACTCAATCTTCTCAAGTTGTTTTTGTTGGCTGAGAAGTTCCTCGTTAAGTTTGGGGATTTCCTGGAATGAGCTTTTCTGATTAGACTCCACTGAAAGCAAAATAAGAACAATTGTAAATAAGTATCACATTCCCTCTGCTCCCACAATTAAAAAATAGGACAGAAGAGAAAAAGAGAGATCAGTGAATAATGAATTGATTTTGGGATCATGATGACTTAAAGAAAAGTGACAACAGGGCAATGCTATTATTTATGTAAATGTGCACTGTTAGCTCTTTTTACCCTTGTAACACAAAACGTTTAAGTGAGGTGACTTGGCTTAATAATAGAGCTCTTGTTTGGCAATGTGTAAGGGGCTGGGCTTTATCCCCAGGACCACAAAACAACAAGTACAATGAAGGCAGGTGACTAAAATCTTTAACAGAAACCATGAGCAGAAGGGGTTAGCTAATTTCAGCTCTCAACTTACTATTATTTTGAGTAAATTATTCAATTTCTTTAGAGCTCAGTTTCTCTTTCTGGAATAGCGTGGAAAGATTCATTTCCCAAGACTGTTAGAAAGAGGTGAACAAAAGTTGTAAAGCACTAGCACAACTGGCCAGGCATACAGTAGGTAATAAATAAATACCCGACCAGTTTTCAGGTAAGTCAATTAAGACTTAAAACTTCTACCACATAAATGCTCAAGGTACCATTACAAACTACCTCTAAAAGCTTATTTGCTTCTACTTTAAGTTGGCTGACTGTGAGGTGATACTCAAATACTGATATGAGTGATGGAGCGATGACTCAGAGGTTAAGAAGAGCACTGGCTGCTATCCAGAGGTCCTGAGTTCAATTCCTAGCAAACACATGGTGGCTCACAACCATCAACAGTGAGATCTGGTGCCCTCTTCTGGTGTGCAGGTGTACATACAGACAGAACATTGTATACATAATAAATAAATAAATCTTAAAACAACAACAACAAATGATATGAGGAGTAAGATTCATAAATAGCAGTGTTTTCTTAAACTAACCCAAAAGCTCAAGATGAAAGAGAAGAGAAACATGTTGGGTGAAGTGCAAGGGGACAATTGGGCTCTGTGAAATAACAATTCCTGTGTCGTAAGGGATCTGAAGCCCGTGGCAGAGGCCGACAGCGTGCTCTCTCCTTTCTTTAAAAAGTATTTTTCCTCTTAATGGAAAATAAAATATTGATAATGGCTGTGCCTCCAGAATAAAACCTACATCATTTTTCTTCAGGTCATGGACTTCCTGATTAGTTACTATATATATTTTTTAAGCCCCAAAACTGGCATACAGGGCCAATATAAAATAACTTACTAAAATATGAACTCCATGACTTTGTTTTGTCCATTTCTGTATAGACTGCACTTAGAATATAATTTTATGCTCTTGGTAAATACTTGTTACCTAAATAAACCTGGTCTTTGCTGACCTCCCAACCTCTTAGTACATCACCTTCCTCTTCAATCCAACAAAGAAAACTCAGAAAGTAAACACCCCAGAGAAGCAAGCACACTTAACAAAGCCCCATGAAAACAGGGCAGTGGTGATATCCCTTTAAGCAAGCCCACTATGGAACAATTCACAATAATGAAATTAGGCATTTTCATTTATTTTTCAAAAGTAGCTGCCATAGAGAACTGCATTCTAAATAACAGACTTCCCTGAGTGCTTTTAGTGTAGCATTTGATTTACACATGGTTTGCAGAACGCATCCATCTCAGACAGTAAGAACATCTCATTACTCATTCTAACAAATGCAGCTCTGTGTTGCTGGATTGCTTATAGTTTCAGCTGGGCTGTAAAGAAAAAGCCATCCTACAAATGCCTCCCGTACACAGGTGGCCAAACACTCTCAGGAGGGAGGGGCTCTCTTTCCTGAAGGCTATATGCAATAAGTAGGACTTAGAGATGGAAAATAAGTAAGACAAAGATAAAAACAACTATTAACTAATGAGTACATAAAGCCGACAAGCCCTGAGGACACTCTGGATCCTGAGGAGTCTATGAGCCAAGAGGGGATTGTAATCGTTATCTGATGTGGGCGTTTTAGGAGAGACAAGCCAAGTTGAGGCACTTTTGTTACATAAATGCAAGTATGGCAGACAAACAACTTATGATTACTTATTCATGTTCTTTTACCAAGCAAAGCAACTCATTTAAAATTTAATATGTTGAATCTCAAAAGAATTCACCTAGTTCTCACTTATTTTCATCTTTATGATTAGGAAATGGAAATTTCTACATACACCCTTCAAAGACAATATACACAATGTCAATAGTAATGTTTTGTATTCATACAATGCCCTCACAAGTTGCAGTAAATTTTGATGAAATTATCATCAAATGACACATTACTGCGCCTCTACTATGTGCCAGCCCTGTACTTGACACCACTGTATACAAAAGACCCTAAATTTCTCTAGTCTAGAGGTGAAGGGAGGATTACTATAAATGTTGACAGATGTCATAACACAAATAATGACTAAAGTGCTTTTAAGGCAAAAATGCAACTTCATGTGTCATGCTTGGGTAAGAAAATATAAGCTAAGAAAGAATATGTGACTGTTCTAATTTTACAGTGAGTAATGAGAAGCAAACGGTCAAACCGTGTGCTCACAGGGCCAACACCCTCTAGGATGGTCAAGACGTCAGGGACAGATCTTTGTGCCCGTACTCACACAAAACCATGGAACATTTTGTACAAAATATCAGACCACGACTTTTCCTGAATGACCAGAAAAGGAGATACCTCACTGACTAGTACTTTCCTTCTCTTTCAAATTCTTTTCTTTTTCTCCAATGTTTCATTGTTGACAGGAGAACATATTGGAGATAGAATTTTGCTTTGAATGACTATGGAAGCCTTTTGAAATTCCTGATTCTGGAAAAAGAATACTGAATTAAAACCCAAGACCAGGGGAGATGGTTCAGTGGCCAAGGGCACTGGCTGCTCTTCCAGAAACCTGGGTTCAATTCTTAGCACCTACATGCAAGCTCACAATAGTCTGTAATTCCAGCTCCAGGGCATCTGACCCCCTCTCCTGGCCTTCATAGGCACTGCATATAGATGGTGCACAGACACATGCAGTCATAATACCCACATATAAAAATACATCATTCAAAAAGGGGGCAGGGCTGGAGAAACAGCTTTGTAGTTAAGAGCACTGACTATTCTAGATGTCTCAGGTTCAATTCTCAGCAGCCACATGGAGCTCACAACTGTCTGTAACCCCACTTCCAGGGGAACCCAACACCCTTACACAGACATACATGCAGTCAATGCGTTAAAAAAAAAAAAAGCTGTTCCAAGGCCAGCCAGTCTTTTAACTCAAGGATCAAGCTGTTCCTTGACTACAAAGAAAAAGTAAGCCCAAAGCCCTGCTTCCATTGCAGGTGCTTCCCCAGCACCGTGCTCTTTGCAGTTCCTTGGGGAATGTATTCAAATAAAGAACTAGGGGCTCTCTGCTCTCTCAAGTCAAGCAAGCAGGTGGTCTTTTCTGAGTGGGCACCATTGTTTTGTTGGATTAAGAAGAAATAAAAATTAACTGACTGAGATATGCTTTAAGTAGAAGCATAGTTTTAAAAATATGATTATTTAAGAGCAGTAAGTCTCCACTTAGTCAAGGTAACTGTTCTTTCCTTTTTTTTAAAAACCCAAACTAGTGAGCAATCAGCCCATAGAAGTACAGCTTGAGTACCCCAATCTTCCCTCCCTCAGGAAGTCCTTGCATGTCTTCCTATCTTCCTTCTTTTTTCCTCCCTCCCTCCCTCCCTCCCTCCTTCCTTCCTTTCTTCCTTCTCTTTCTTGAGTGTGTGCACTTGTGTGTGCGTGTGGTAGTGGTGTTCATGTGCCATAACACACATGTGGAGGTAAGAGTTCAACTCCTTCCACTGCATGGGCTCCAGAGACTGAACTCAGGTCATGAGGCTTGGTGCTAAGTGCCCTTGTCCACTGAGTGATCGCAGTGGCCACTGGCATTTCTATTGTGGCAAATCAAAGCCAACAAACCATTACTCAGCTGGCTGACAAATGCAGTTCTGGCTGCAGGAAAACCTTCCTCAGTGACAGAAAGCTGGCCCCACAGCCCAGGTGTGGCATCTCCTGAACATACTATTTTTAGGGACTGGCATTAACAAATGCTTAACAGATATTTATCGACTGACTGTCAGGCCTACTATATATCTTACATTTTTCCAGACAGAGAAATCCATGGCAAGCCCAGCTAAGATATAAATTACCCTGGTATTCTGTAGACACAGGCAGAACATACTTGCAGAAAGCAATCTCTAGAGGGCAGAACTGAACAATGTATAAAATGAATAAACAAATAATTGCTGTATGTCATCAAAACAAGGTGTGTCACAAGCCTAGGGAGCTCAGCTAATTATAGAGAGCTGATAAAACAAAAAAGCTTGTTCAGTGGTCACATACAGTTCAACACTGTTTCTAAGTTATGATTATTACTTACATTAAAGAAAATACAGGCTTGAAAATATTTGCAATATTGCAAAAACAAGAATTACACAGGGAGAAACCCCACAGAATGTAATCCTTTTTTTGTGCTGTACTTTGATTCAGCCGTATATAACAGGATGATTTTGGCAAAGAATTGTGGGCTTATCCGAACCCATCCCTGAACCAGGAATTCAAAAGAAAACTAAAGTGAATAGTAAGACCTTTTGAAAGCATCATCACTAGAGACACCAGTAACACTCAGAGAAGTAGCTCTCCCATGTCAAGTTCAAAGCCTGAATGACTGTAGGTCAAGGGAGGCTGAGTGAAGGGAGGCAAGAAGTTGTGATTTTCTAGGCTTAAGAGGAAAAGTAAGAGCTCAAGTTCCACTTTGGGAGACACAGTTCTTTGAGAAAGCTGTGGTCAGTTTTCTGGTATGCTATGACAGTTGAGATCTATGATTAAGTTGAAACTGGTTCTTTAGCTTAGAAAATTAACTCTTGAAATCTAGAACCAAAAATTACACTGTTAAAAAAAGGAGAAAATTTGTTAAGTTAAACCTGGTTGAAACCACTACATAAACATGCCTTCCAGAATAAAAAGTAGTTTGGATGTATAAAATGGAACTTTGTAATCAGAATATTTGACATTTTGTAACTTGGAAGTCTCTTAAACCACAAACCCATTCATAAGACAGATATCTCTATCAGCTGTACTGCCTTCATGGTAAGAACTATTATGATCACTGCACCTCTTTAGGAATGTGTAGCGCAATTCAAAGATTAAAAGTTTCCAAAACTTTAAGACGGTGACATTCATGGTATTTGAAGATTTTCCCCCTGGAAACAGATGTCACAAACAAGCATCCTATGGAAGGAAGCCTATTAGTTACCTGTTCTTGCTCTGTGCTTGAACACCAAAACACACACACACACACACACACACACACACACACACACACCACACACTCAGCTCTTCCACCATCTACTAAACTTTTATAAACTACTGATCCAAGATGCTACAGAAATAACTCGTGGGCACTTGCAGACATGCATGAGCTTTTACAGGTACTGGAACAGTGATGTACTACTACAGAGGCTATAAATATGAATCTCAGAGAACGAGCAAGAGGACCAGGGGTAAATCTCAGCTCTAATACACTTGCTAAACAAGCTACTTAATTTTTCTAAGCTTATTTAAAAAAACTTTTAATTAAATATTAATTATTTGTTTACTTATTTGTGTGTGGGTGCATGCATGCCACAGCATGTCTGTGGATGTCAGAGGACAATTTGCAAGTCAGTGTTCTCCTTCTAGCACAGATGGATCTTTGAGATTGAACTCAGTTGATTAGTTTTGGCAGCAAGTGCCTATACCTGTTGAGCCATCTTGTCTACCCAGCTGTTTTTTTTTTTTTTTTAAAGAACACAAATAGTAATACTCATCTTTACCAGAGCACGTGTGTGCATGCACACATACACACCACACACCCATGCACAGAGAGAGAGAGAGAGACAGAGCAGCAAAAATAATGCCTATGTCAGAGGAATGATTTGGGGAATGATTTACTTGTGACTTGGCACAAGCAGACAGATCATAAATGGTGGCTCTTACAATGTTGTCCATCCTATGTTCCTACAGTGTTTTGAAAGAGGAAGTCATTAGACATTTTAACTGATGGTGCTATGGGGTAGAAGGAAACAGTGTGGTGTTGCAAAAGCCACTTTATAATTGGAGCTTGGGCTGTAGGTGGAGTTTAATTAAGGCTCTGGGCTTCTGGTCTACAGTTTTTCCCCCTTCCCATTGAGTTGACTACAATGCTGTAATTTCAGACCCTACTGGTCCTGATGGTACCTAAGCACTGAATTTGTTCTTGGTGGAAAAACAAGCAAGGGTTACTACGGTAGACAAAATGTGTAATTGCTTACCAGAATGGGCAAATTCCTAATTCAGCATGGGCCAGCTTTTCCTAAAACTTGAAAAAACCTTGACCACTTACTTGTTCTAAATTTTTCCTTGAGGGCATCCAGATCCTCCTTGAGAGCCACTTGCATCCACACCAAGCCAACACAGGCCACAACACAGGCAGCGAGGATGACAAAAGCACAGAGGGGATAACAGATCTTGCAGCATCGTAAGTAATCTCCCCTATCGTAAGAATACATTCATGAATCAGAGGGTCATTGTGAGAACAGCCTTATTAGAAACCGTATACGCTGTCAAGAGTTATAGTCCCTGACGAATAACCAGTGAGTTTACCAAGAATGGCAGGACAGTACACTTACATTTAATAGCAGGATGTTGAAAATGAATAATATGACCTATGCAAGGTTCTATTGGGGACAAAGGTTTCAAACTGCAAAGGAAATAGGGAGTGCCTATGGGTTATCGGAAGAAGTACTTGCAGGCTCTAGATCACTGCCCTCAGCTCAGGAAGGAGGCCTGTGGAGCTGAACTCAGTTTGAGAAGCGTAAGAGACAAGACAGGCATCGTGGCATAGGTCCGTAATCCAAGTTCCTGGGAGTTTGAGGAAGAGGAATTCTAAGTTCTATGTCAGCTTGAGCAAGTTACTAAAATCCCGTTTTACAAAACAATGGTGAATGTTTGCTTGGTGGTAGAGAGGGTGCTTGTCTACCATGCAGGAGAACCTAGCTCAGTCCTTAGTTGTACTAAGAAAAAAAAAAAAAAAAGATGGAAAGAAGGGTAAAAATGGGTGGTTCTATGAAATTCTATCCTTGCACTGTAATTTACCTATCTCTTTCTCTCTCAAATATATGCTCACTTACCCCAGGAGACCTTGTCTCATTTATTGAAGCTTCACAAACTTTTGACTAAGTTTTACTGCAAATGGAACAAAAGACATAAGATCTGCTGGTTTACATGATACCCAATATTCTTGAACTTACTGCCTTGGGAGGACAGAAATAGAAACCTGCTAGATTTCACACCAAACTTCACCTACCTTCACTTCTAAACTAACCCAGCAGGGTAGCTTTCAAGAATGACATTTCATCAGATGACCTTCACAACACAAACTCCAAATGGTCCTTAACTACCCCTTTTGACTAAGTCAGATAAAGAAACAAAAAGACACAGATTCTGGACACACTAAAAGATCAGAACTTTTTGAGCACCTAAGCCCTCTGTCCAACACTTGTCTCTACACCCCAGCATAATCCCTTTTAGTTTGGTCTGACAAGTCCAAATAACTGGCTCACAAACTGACCTCTTAATTCCCCAGTCCTCAAAGCTCATTTGTTTAGTGGTTGCCCTACCAGAAACTGGTTTGGGAAAAGACTGGTTTTTTTTTTTTTTTTTTTGTTGTTTGTTTGTTTGTTTTGGTACTCTCACCCTCCACCAATATATTTGTAGAGTTCAGACTTGCTACAGTGTGCCCCTCACCATATTCTCCCGTCACCAATATCCAAGCTCATTAAGAAAACACAAAACAATCATTGGTCTTAAGGTCCCTTGACCCACTTTTTAAAAATGCCTAGCCCCAAAGCCTCTTTGTTCCTCTGTCTCTAATTAGTAACCTTTTAATTCCTTCTTGGGCTACGGGCCCATTCCTCAAGTCCACACTTCCACAGTGGACTTGGAGGTCTCGCTACACATTCGAGTGACCTCTGACTTTTCACTCAGGTTTGAAGTTGTCTTCTCCAATATCCTTTCTCCCTCTTTGTTTTCAAAGCCTGCTTCCTTTTTCTTCCTAAGGACTCCCCACTCCTTCTTACTGATTCCCCCTGCTGGTGGTGCAAGACGCTTTTTCCCATTGCGGTTCTCACCACTGTTTCACTCACTTGACAAAACGAGAGCGATTTCCAATTGCTCCAAATTCCTCTTCTTCCTCTGAGCTGGACTCTGAGTCTGAGTCAGGAGGCTCAGTGCGAAGCAGGCGGTGGCTGCTTGGGCCTTTCTTGGACTTCTTTCTCCGACTGTCACCAGCCAAGCCGATTAAGGCGTTGAGCTCTTTGCGCTTTTTCATCTTTTTGTGGGGGGTGAGTGGAGCACCCACACCTGAGCTGCCAGGTTCGTACCCGACGCCCAATTCTCCCGATGCCTTGGAGCTGCCTTCCAGGGTTGGAAATCCTGGGCCAGAGCCCCCTGATCACTCCCACCCAGAGGTGGGACTGACCAGATCGACTGGGGGGCCTGGAGAATGGAGACCAGAGGAAACTGGACTCAGATGGATGGGGGAAAGTTACATAGAGGTGGCCAAAGAACTGGGTGATCCAATTTCTGAATTGGTGAGAAATTTCTGAAACAACTATTACTTGCCAAAAGAAACACAAATCAAAACAAACAACCCGCTAAGGCAAGAACGAGATTTTTAGCCTTGTAGGCAGGCAATATTTCTGGGAGTGCTCCAGAAGCTGGGAAAAGATACACAAAACTAAGGTACTTTGGATCTCTGGGACACGAGTCCCGATTCCCAGTGCACAGGAAAAATAAACTTGCTTTCGAAAGGGAGGACAGGAGACTGCAGCTCAGGCAGTGGGAACTCGCTAATCCTCGGCTGGAGAGGTGGCGACAGGGAGAGGACACCGACACTGCCTGGGCGCCCGGAAAACGGCGCAGGCCAGGAAGCCGGCCGGGATTCGGGATAATCACCTTCCTGTGGCTTCTGTCCTGAGTTTGAGGAGACCGGCGAGGGGCAAGTCGGAGCCCGGGGCAACCCCAGCCCTGCTGCCAGGGCCCGGGAGTGGGGTGCAGGGTGAGGGGTGGCCACCGCTCGGCCAGCCTGAAGTGCCCGGAGTGAAGCGTTCCGCCGAGAGTGTACCGGCGACTTCCGCCACTCACACGCGCCGCGTCCAGTCCAGCCGCGCCTCCGGGCCCTGCTCCGGCCGCGGCTGCCCCGGGCGCGCTGGCGGCGGCGGCGGCCGCAGGCTCCAGACCCGGGCCATCGCTCCAGCCCCAGCTCACTTCCCCTTTGGCAGAGGCCCCGGGCCCGGCCTGCCAGTAAACCCTGTGCCCATTGGGCGCCCTGTGGTGACGTCACCCCGGAGGACGAGCGCGGCGCGGGGGAGGTGGAGAGTTAAAGGGGCCGCGGCTCCGGTCAGCGCCGGGTAGGTAGGTCCCCGCCTCTGTAGGACAGCCGAGACTGCAGCTCCCTCGAGCAGAGGCGGAGTTTTGCCTGCGGGGAAGCAGGGGCGGGGCTGGCACCCGAAGCTCCACCAGGCTCGGAAAAGTTCTTCGGAGGCTCCACTTCTCTTTCAGTTAGGCTGTTGAGGCTGTTTGTTTTAATGGCCCAGTTGAATAATCTATCCACCTACCCACCAATCCATCCATCCATCCATCTATCCATCCATCCATCCATCCATCCACCCATCCATCCATCCATCCATCATCCACCCATTATCCATTTTTCCAATCAATGTTTATTGAGGGCAACATTTCAAGACCTTCTAGGTGTTGGGATGCTGCAATAAACACAAGAACTAATGTCTTTGCCTTCCTGTATAGAGTTGCCAGATTTAGAAAATAAAATACAGAACACTTGTAAAGTTCAGCGATTTCTTTTCTTTTTTCTTTTTTTTTTTTTTTTGATAGAGATGTTTCGTGTAGTCCTGGCTGTCCTAGAACTAGTTATGTAGACCAGGCTGGTCTCTTGAACTCTCAGAGATCTGCCTGCCTCGGCCTCTTGAGTTCTGGGATTAAAGGCATGCATTGTTACACCTGTCTTAGCTACTTTTAAATTATAAGAACCCTCCAATATCTATGACAACCTTACACAGAAAAAGAATTCCTTGTTTATGTGAAATTCAAATTCAGCTGGGCTTCCTCTATTTTAATCTGCCCATTCTCTCCAGTTTGTATTCTAGCATGAAAGCTACAACAGGCGCAAATATTACATCTTAGAAGTCTATGAGGGAAACTGAAACAAGACAGAATGAGGTTTTTTTTTTTGTTTGTTTGTTTGTTTTTGTTTTTTTTAAAAAAGGGCTCATTAGGCAGAGATCCTAAGGAAGCCAGGGAATGAGCAAAACAGCGTTATCAGGAGGGGTTATCAGAAAGACCTGCTTTGGCAAAAAAAAAGTGATAAGAAATGAAGTTGGAGAGACATCAGGAACTATGCCTTGCAGCGTCTTGTGGAAGGAGTTTGAGAAACCACTGAGGAACAACCCTGGCTTTTTAGTTTATAAAAGATGACTCTGGCTACTGTGTGGAAAAAAGAAACACGAGGAAGAAAGGGACCCAAGAACCTTTTCAATCTAGATAGGGATGAAGAGGATAGCCAAGGATGGCAGCAGTGGGGATGGCTTGTTGTCTGTATGCTTCTTGAAGACAGAGCGAACACTATGTTTTAGTAGAGTAGATGAAAGGAACTTTAAAAAAGAAAAAGGAGCCACGGATGACTCCGGAAGCTTGGAATGCTGCAACGGAAAGAGCCTTGTCATTTGCTGAGTAAGAGAAGGTTTGGGGACATGCTCAAGAAGCCAATTTGATATCCAAATTCGGACTCCAGTAGGCTGCTTGGTATTTCCATAGGGAATTCTGGGCAGGAACTGTGGCCTGAAATACGTCAGTGATATTTATAACATCATGCTTTGAGCTACCTAGAAGAAAATCAAAGTAATTTAAATCCCTATGTTCTCGCTGTGGCAATTGTACTACCTCTGCCTGAGGATTCTCACCTAAAGCCTAGGTGTGTCTTGATTTTTCTGTAAGCATTTACACAGTGGTATGCACCTAATTACAACCTCCCAATAGATACCTGATGACAAATTCACATCCTCAAACAGAGCTTTGGAATCTTGAGACCTGGGATTTAATCCTGCCTGCAATACCAGTCCAGGGAGCAGCTGTTTGACTTTCCTGGGCTTATTTCCCCACTGGGTGCCTGAAGTAAACTTCTACTTCATAGGAGACAGCAACTGTGGTGATGCTTTTGAAGCCTGGAGTTGTGGTATACATGCTTCATTTTTATTGTCCCTTTTCCCCTATTGATTTATTTATTTAATCGACCTACAGCCTGATCGAAGCCCCTCCCTCCTCTCCTATCAGTCCCACCCTCCACCCTCCCCCATCCCCATCTTCCCTTATCTGAGGAGAGGTCCCCCAAAGGATACCAACCCACCCTGGCACCTCAAGTCCCAGCAGGACGAAGCACATCCTCTCTCACTGAGGCCAGACAAGGCAGCCCAGCTGAGGGAAAGGGATCCAGAAGCAGGCCATGGAGTCAGAGACAGCCCCTACTCCTATTGTTAGGGGACCAAGCAGCACATCTGCTATGTAAGCATAGGGGGCCAAGTCCAGCTCATGCTGAATATAGCTAATAGTGTCAGGGGTCGACTCTCTCCCATGGCCCAAGTTGGGCCAGTCATTGGCCTTTCCCACAATCTCTGCTCCATCTTTATCCCTACACTTCTCATAAGCAGGACAAATTTTGGGTTGAGGGTTTTATGGGTGGGATGGTGAACCCCCCCTTCACTGAGAGGCTCACCTGGCTACAGGTATTGTCTCTTCTTGTTTCTGGAGCCGCTCTGACCAAGCATTGTAGCTGCGAGCCATATAAGCCAAATGTACAGGTAAATGTCCTCAGCTTTGTGAAAACAAAGTGAAAATGTTCCATTTGTTCCTGTGGCATCACTGGCTCCTTGCCCAGTAGCCATATGTGTCCAGTGGCTATAGAAAAGCACAGTTTTGTATCATTCTATCATCATAAACAGTATTGTTGGTCAGTTCTGCCCTGGTGCTTTCCGGATGGACTGGAAATTGACAGATGAGGTTACCAAACTCAGGAACCATTTCATAGACACATTTCATCTATGGTCATTATAAAGAGGTACCTATTCAGGGTAGGTCTTTCTATTGTAGATGCTACTTCCTTACCACGGGGGCTGTTGCTGAGGATCTTAGGGCAATGGGACAGGGCCAAGGATGCATCACCCTCCCTCCTTCTGCTGAGTCTGCCTTTGGTTTCTCTGCCTCTTTGGTCAGACCACACCTCTGTGTTGGGCAAACATCCCAGCATGATGAGTCACCCTCAACACTGCATACCTGGTAGCTCTTTTCCCCAGGCACACCGGGCTACTTCTCTGGTCTTTTTCCTCAGAGATGGGACCCTCAAGTCCAGGGATCAAGCCAGTATGCTCAGAACCAGCTCTCCTGTCCTGATGGGCCTATGCTGCCGTGCTTTCGAGGTGATGGCTGTTTCTCCGTTGGGGATGATCCCAGTTGACCTATTTAAAACTTGCTTGAAAAATCACTATGTGAGTGTGTGGTGGTGCCCCTGCCTTGACTGTGAAGTGGGAATACTAAGATGTAGTGCTCAGCCTTCAGCTCAGTGCCGCCTTGATGAGGGAGTGGCCTGAAAATGCTTTCTAGGCCCGGGTGGGTAACTGTTATGCGCTTCAAGCTTCTAGCAGTTCTCAGGGAAGGAAGAGAAAGATCACTGTGGTCAAAATCAGCCTGTGCAAGTGGTAAAGCCAAACCTGAGAACCAAGTTACTTTGGAAGATGCCCCAGACAGCTTCCATTAGGGAAGGATGAGAGTGGGCAGCGTACCCGGGATTATGGTTTCAAGTTAGAAGCAGGGCTCCCAATTCCTGGGCTGAAGCACTTCAAGGCCTGAGAATCCCCTTCCCAGCATCCACGTCTTTGTCTGAATGCTGCCGCCTGGCAGCTGTGTGATCTTAGACGAATCAGTGAGCCTCCCTGAACTTCACTACATATTTCTGCCAAGTGGTTGGTTTTAACTAACAGCACTCATGAATACCTACATCAGTTGTGAAGAATAAGGCATTTTCACTTCAGGCAGGCCTTTCTTTCTTTCTTTCTTTCTTTTTTTTTTTTAAAGGGAGGCAAGCCTTCCTCTGTGATTTCCCCCCCCTCAGGCTGTCAAGCTGTCTATTGTTCTCTGTTTAATGTTGTCCTCCTCTGACATGCACACAGAGTGTGGACAGCTGTAGGACTCTGTCCTATGACTGGGCAGACTCACCTTCCTTTTCTCTTTCTGTTTCTGTATTGAGTCCCCACAGGATCA